ATCTTATTTGCCCAGGATAAGCATGCTCCCCAGAAGGGATGTAAGAAACACGGCAGGAGCCGCCTGAAATGTAGGCACGTGCTGGTAACAAAAATCTTATTTGCCCAGGATAAGCAGGTTTGGCCTCCCAAAGGGAAAAAAAGCAACAACTTGGAATGAAGTGAATCCTTGCAAAAAGAAAACCTCAGAGAGGAAATGTCAACTCATATTCATGCTTTGTGGCCATTATTTACATTTCCAGTTAAATCGAATAGTGGTAAATTTGAACTGAAAAATCCTCTGTAAACACACGGAATTCAAACCCAAAGGAAAACTGCTAATAAGGAAAAAACCAATACAAATCCTTAAACATAAGCCCAAAACCACCGGTTCTGGAGTCCATTTCCAGCAGAGCTGCGACTGCTTGACCAGACGTCAAGTGTGCCAGGGCAAACCCAAGAACAGCCCTCTTTAAAGGTGGGCAACGGGAAACTTCTGAAACCATAACCCAGCTCTCTGAAAATGCGTCAGAAAATTGTCCTGAGAAACCTCCCAGGGCTCTAAAAATGGGAAGTGATGCATGACTGCAATGGAATTCTCAACCTGCCAACTGATTTGAAGGAGGCTGCACATACACATATATATACACATATATATGAGAGAGGGAAATGGTATATAGTTAAAAAAGGTGATGTATGGCACACGACAAGCACCTGAGGCTGTGAGAAGCCACTCTCAGATGTGGCTACTGATTCCTGGTGACGGGCAACAATATTACAGGGTCACATCTAAGGGGAAGTGCTTTGTCAGCCCAGGCTTTGTGAGAACTCCCAACTGCAAGAATCCCACCTGGAAGATATATATGTGTGTATATATATCTTTATATACCCCTCATACCCTGCTCTGCCCAGCGCAAAGAGGTACCGTGGGCCAAGGCACCCTGGTTTCACCCAGCAGCACCCTCTGTACCTAAAAAGCTCCTCCTGATAAAACCAAGAGCCTAAAGCCTTGCACACAGCAAAACATTTCCAAAGGAGCTACTGCCTTGTGCTCTGACATTCTGAAACCTATTTTTGGAAAAGCTTACTGTAGAAAACTAACGACTTTACAGCTTCTGCCCCCCTCCTTTTTAAAGCAGCCACAAGCAAAAAGCCAGGCCTACATCTGTGTAGTCATTATATTACCTTCTGCCCCTCTCACTTTGTATAAATCACATTTAACGCACTAAGTGTAAATAAACACAAGTCATCACAAGAACACACACACCAAACACTATTCAGTGACTGCATTTCATTGTAGCTCTTACCAGGCATCCTATGGAACAGGCCTAACACCTTAAAATGTGACACCGAGCATGCCTACATATTTCACAGAAATACAGAAAATCTCCAATTCAAATGCAGCCAGGGCAGTTTGATGAGTGCAGCGTTGTTAGGAGAAGCTTTTTCCCTCAGTAAAAGCTGGATTGTGCCATTCCTCCAGAGCTGGGGCAGAAACCTGCTCAGAGAGCAAACACCTCTGCAAACCATGGTGCCTTTTAGGCAGCGGGACACGGCTCCGCGCTAACGAGAGGAATGAGACTGCCCCTCTGGAGTTTAACGGTGCAATGCCAGCTCCAGCTGAAGAAATTATAGTAGATGGATTTATTTTCTAAAAAAGAAAAGGAGGATACTGCTGCCTCTAGCTATGAGCCCATTTGGGGTCAACGGTAGGAGAAATTGGTGGCTTTTTGTCTTGGCACTTGGCTAAACTGGGTTCCCGAGGCAGTGACAGCCTCTACTTTGACTGCAGTAGCGTTAGAGAGGGAAACAGGGGAAAGGGGAGAGATGGTATTTGTCAGAAACACACAAGGACAATGGAAATCCATTGGCCAAGCCATGTAGAACAAGTTTTCAAAGCTGCAGATGTGCTAAAAGACCCACACAGACATGGCCCCGGCGAGATCCCCCGAAGGTGCCTGTGTGAAATAGAAAATTCAAGGTCAGTTCTTCTGGCCCCTGGCTGGCAGTGCACTGCAGATACTGTGCTCAGGGCTTACTGGGATCCACTAATTGCACCAACAGACTCATTACCAAGCCATCTCTGCCCCTTATCTGTTGGCTTGTTGCCCAACAACGTGAGTTGTTGATGTGGTGTCCTGTCCACATCCCGAATGTCAAGGTACGCTGCAAGTTTCTGCCTGCAGGGAACTCGGAACAGGGTCTTCATTTTAATTATTTGTAAAATTGCATGACCAAACCCAGCATCACTCCTTTGTGCACCTCCAGGCTTCTTGAAAGTCTAAGTTTCTTCAAATGGTACCGAAGAGCTCAGCTGTCCAAATGGTACTGAAGAGCTCATCAGACCTGCATGGTTTCACTTTATATTTTACAGAAATAACTGAGATAAATAATTAGTGACAGAAGCCTTATTTTTTTCAATTTTTGTATCAGAAAAAGTCTGAAAGGATTTTAATTACCTTGCACTCGTCTGGACTATGATTTTTTTCCCCCCTCAATCAGGTGTTTATGATCTTCGTAAGGTGGCTGCTGTTGGGGAGAGTCCCACTGCAGCAGTCCCTAAAGCAGCCGAGACTGAAGGAGGTGTCTGGAGAAGATCTTCTCCAGAGCAGAGGTGGAGTCACCTGAGATGCTTTCCCTTTCCACCACTGCCTGCATGTCAGCAGTAAGTTGTGCCAGAGCTCAGGCAGGCCCTCCCTAATCAGTGTTAAATGAGCCAACTTAAAACAGAGCAGGGGACACTTGGCCAGAGGAACCGCCGCTGGAGGAACACATCAGCAGTATCTTAAACCACCCCAGCTATTTTAATAGGGGATTTGTCCACACCTCTGCTTTAGCAGAGCTGTGCCTCCCACTGCCAGAGCACACTTCAGAGAGGGCACAGAAGCCATCTGGGTTCCAGTGAATCACTTCAACGATACCAGTACAGCTAGTGTAGAACAAACTGGCAGAGATGTTTTTAAAAAAAGAAAATATATCGGGCCAATACCAAGCAGTTAGGTAGTTTACATGATAAATGTGAAAAATAGAAGTGGATTTGAAAATTTCAAATTAAAAGCAGCCACAACTCACTCCTTTTGTTCTTAAAAAATAAGCTAAAATGTCTAAAGCATTTATTCAAGGAAGAAAACAAACATCTCTGATTTCTGTTCAGGTTCCTCTTTCGGCATCTAGTGACTGAGGACAGAATACCTGTCCCACTAACAGCTACTCAGAGTCCTCAACATCCCAGAATTTGTCTCCCAGTATTTAAATTCCCAAATTGAGGAGCAATAGCAGCACAGAGAATGTTTCTCTCTCTTGTTGTTGTTATTAATTAAGTCCCATTTCCTGCTCCTGAATGGCTGTGATTTAGTGGCAGTGGCGGGGTGTGTTAGAGCAATGGAAGGTGGATCAGCAGCTGTAGTCATTATGGGAAGGCTGGCAGCTCCCCAGGGGAAGCACAGCTGCTCCATCCATGCAAATGAGAGCTCTCCACAAGGGCTGCAATTAGGGAGCGTGGCAAACGGAACTGGGGGAAAGGAGAGAGGGCGCCTTGCAGAAAGCCAAAGGATTTCCATTTCATTACATTCCTGTTCCCCAAACTCCTCTTCAGGCCTAAGAGGACTCACTCACAGACACAGAAAGGTCTAAGTCTCACCAGTATCAGACCAGCAGCCTCTCCCCGTGGCTACTGGGCATTTACAACCAGCCTGTGCCCAGAGCCCAGGTCCCAGTTCACTGCTGCTGGGCAGGTGGGAAAAAAGAACTGGCCACGTCGTGATCAGGGAGGGGAGCAACAGGAGGAGGGGGAAGTTGTGTTCCCCAAACTCCTCTCTAGGTCTAACAGGACTCACTCGCAGACACAGAAAGGTCTGAGTCTCACCAGTATCAGACCAGCAACCTCTTTGCTGTGAGGGTGGTGAGAGCCTGGCCCAGGTTGCCCAGAGAAGCTGTGGCTGCCCCATCCCTGGAGGGGTTCAAGGGCAGGTTGGAGGGGGCTTGGAGCAACCTGGTCTGGTGGGAGGTGTCCCTGCCCAGGGCAGGGGGTGGCACTGGGGGGGCTTTAAGGTCCCTTCCCACCCAAACCATTCCATGAATTTGTGATCTATTTCTAAGCACAGAAAATCACTTCTGAGGGGCTGGGACAATGCAGATACATCTCCTCTACCCACAGCCCGCTCCTGAGACCCAGACCAGCAGGTAATACTCTCCTTTCCTTTGCTCAGTAGTACTTCTTACTTTAAGTACCTTCAGCTTATTCTGGGGTAATTCCTTTCCCACTCGAGGAGCTGAGGCCCTCCTAAAGAGCACGTTTCCTTCCCTTAGATAAAAATTGCACTAAAGGCTCCTCCTTTTCAGAGAGGCTGTGCAGGGTGCTTATCCTGTTACATCTGTAGCCTGTTTGCACATTAGCAACTGTTTAAATAAAGTGACATTTTATTATTTTAGTTTCTCCCAGCTCCTGTTCTGCATTCAGCCTCTTTAATTAAAGCCGTCTGGTTCTTTTATGAGTTGTTTCATGCTGGCAAATCCTTGCACCTGCACGGAAAAAAGAAGCAGGGAGAGAACCTCATTTGCTTTCCTCTGCTTCTCAAACTCTTGTTCCAGAAGCTGTACAGCCCAGAGTTATGCTACAAATAATAAACCCAGAACACAAAGTACCAGACTAATGGAGAGCTTTATTTATCTTTACTTACCACGACCACATCAAGGGACAGAAGAGGATATACACAATTTAGTAGTTCTCCTACCTCTAACTCAGGGGTGAGGAGCTGGACCCACTTGGTCTGTTGGTAAAGCTCCTTGTTGCTCTCATTTGACACAAGGATCCAAACCTGACATTAAATAACCTGACAGGAAAGAATCTTTCCTCTGTACAATCAGGTAACCCAAACTCTTTTCCCCATGCAGTCTGCTGACGAAGCCCAGTTCCAAGTGCCCTGGAATTGAGGGGCCTGACCCCTGGTAGAAGGGACACCTTGGGCTTCCCACATTTCATCCCCAACCCAAGACAGCAGCTGCTCGAACTGCTGCTCTTACCTGAAATCACACGCCGTGGTAAGTTCTGCTCCTCCTCCAAAGGCTTTCCCTTGGACTAGCGCAACGCTGATCAAAGGCAATCTAGACAAGAGAGTTTGGTAACCAACATTCATGCTTTTAGTCTTCTAGGAATTACAAGAAGATTCAAGCAAACCATCTCTATAGTAAAAGATCAGAAAAATACACTGCTGCAACTCATTGCATTAACTACATCTCTGCAGGTAAGCAGCACAATGCCAACTCCCCTTACATTAAAATCAAACAGCAAGGCAGGTATCAAATGGAATCAAAGTAAAGAAGAACATGTTCTACATTATAAAGATACATCCTACAGGTTATACCTGGACAGACTGTCTGCAAGAAGGAGTCACTGGACAGCAACTCAAGACCCTGCAGGAAGCCAGAACACTGCAGAAAGCAGGAGAAAGGGACACAGAGAACTCCTGGCTGGGTTATCTAAAGATCCGCATGGCTGGGTTATCTACACACAGTGAGATTCTGCAGGATCCCTTCAGCAGCCCCATCCAAGTGCCACCACCTCAGCCAGCAACAAAACTGTTTTTGGGGGGCAAAACCATCCTTTGAGGATAACAACAATGCTTTGATGGTGTTGTATTTATGGTGCTCGAGGTGTTTAATCTTGTTCAAGGTAATTCAAAGGACAGAGGGAAGGATGAACACGTAGGGAGAACCTCTCTCCCCACTGCCACTGTGAGATGAACACTAATATTGACTTTGGATGCACCAAGTTCCCCAAGAAATGAAGCTAACTGGTTAGTCCTGCACTTCGCAGGCTGATACAGCTGCTTTGGCTTTTACTACGAAGTGACATTTAACTCCTTGAGAGGTTCTGAAATCACACTCAGAAGTAAGCTTCCCCATCATGACCACAGCTTTGGGTTTGCTTCTACCGTAAGAGAAGCACCAACAATTTCTCATGGCCCAAGTTCACTCAGGGCTGCAGCACAAGGTCAAAGTGAGCCCGCCAGACAAGGGGAAGCTCATTTCTCCTGTGGTTTATGGGGAACCAGAAGATATGGGTCCAAGTCCCCCACACCTACCCTCTGGTCCATCTGAGTGACCTCCTTGGGGATCACGGTCAGCCCCAGCTCCCCCTGAGGGAGACGGATCCCATCTACAAGAGATGTCCCCATCCAGCAGTGACCTGCTCCCTCTGAACCATGGCTTCAGCATGCTCTAAGCCAAGACACCTGAGGTGAGGCCTTAATCTCCATATTCCTTCCTCCTCTCTGCTTTGCCCCATCAATTTTGGGTATACAGAGACCAACTTATACAAATGGATTCCCATCCTGGGTAGTTTTAAAGAATAATGTTAACTCGTAACACTTTCTCATACAGATTATTTGAAAACAAAGACTATTTCTCTTCAAAGAGCTCTGGGGAAAAAAAAAAACACAACACAGACGCTACCACACATGGATTTAATAGAGATGTGATTTCTTAAGGGGAGCTAAATCTAAAGCAAAGGAAAAAAATGTTTTTCAGAAGTACCAGATGGCAGAACTGAATACATTCCTCTTATGAAGTGGGAAGATTAAATAAATATATTAAATAAATGTTACCTGCGTAGGCTGCATAAGCTGGCCCTGCTTGTTTTTTAAGAGCTACCGATTTGCACTAAGTTACAGAAGGCAGCTTCAGAAACTTTCACTTCCTTAACTCTAGGTATCTCCTGGCCCTCCACATACAACCCTACAGGGTTGGGTTTTTTTCTGTTCCAATCTCTGCAAAGTCTAATAGCTGCAAAATGTCAAGACCTAATTTAAATCCATAAATACCTACCTGATTAATGTGTGCGAATGCAAGGCCTGGGATTCAAAATTACATACTTAAAACTATGTATTTAACTTTAAACATCTTGTTAAAGAGTTAGCCAAAACATATTCCAGCCTTATAATTACTTCATAAAGAAGAGTAAATAAAATATATTACCTCATGAGTCTGGTTAAGGTGTTTTGCATAAACATGCACATATTCATCCCATCCTACAAAGAATAGGAAATTAAAAAATGTTAAGTAATCCTAATGTGAAGCAATTAAACACACAGATGGAGCAGGAATATTCATTACATTAACCAAAGAGAATAACCCTGGCGAGAGCAAATCTTGCCCAAATTCCAGCCCAACCCCACTATACACCAATAAATGACCTACTATAAATCACATTAAAAAAATATATCAGAATTCCATCAATTTCTATGAATTTCAGTTATAATTAAGCCACTGTTAATACTATGATGTGAAATTGTACATCCTCTTAATTTCCTCTTCTTGCTCCAGTTAAACACCCATAAAGCTGAGGTTTCACAAGTCTGTAGAGGACCCCAGACTGCCGCATGCTTTCTACTGTTCCAAATCCATTAAGTTTTAGACAGATACAATTTACCAACTTCAGTTTGTTACTGTTTGGGCCAAATTCATTTCAGCCAAAAAAAAAAAACAAAAACAAAAATAGAAGATTATTCTCTTGTCTCTCCTCCTTTACATTTCCCATCAGCTTGCAAACAACAGTGAATGGAGGACAATTGTTCCCTTCCAGCACAAGAACTAAGGGGCTCCCAGTAACTCCACTGCTGCCAGGTTCAAGAGAAATATTTCTTCCCACAGCTCGTGGTTAAACTGGGGAACACTTTGCAGCAGGGCATTGCCACCTCCACAGCAATTCCACAACAACCAGATAAACTCACGAGACAAACATCTACAAAAAAAGTTATTAAATACAAAGTAACCCCTCTAGGTCTAGAAGTCCTAGTCACAAAGTGCTGGGGACTAAGAAGGTATTTTGAGGCAAAAAAACCATTATCTATCTGCCTTCCCTGCTCTTATGGTCTGTCTCAGACATCGAGTGTTAACCAGGAACACGACAAACACCTGGGCTAAATGACCCCATCTGACCATGTTCCTATACATTCTGAACTGCAGACACTCAACTACACCTGTGCCATTTAATCCAGATTTAAAAAAAATATAAATATCCAATAAACAAAAAACCAAAAAAAAAACCAAAACCTGAAAAAACCCCAAACAAATGGTAAGAAGAAAAAGAACAAACACCTCTTTATTGGCACTTACCGATTCCTAAAGCACAGTTTTACAGGGGTTGGCAAGTTAAAAAAAATCAGCCTTAATTAAAAGCTTCTGACTCATAGCTCTGGGAAAGAAAAGCTATGCAGCAAGTCTTTGGTACATCTTGGACCAGGACCTTGAAATCAGCTTCAGCTGATTTATTGCCCTTTCATTCCTGTGTTCCCAGGACCTACGCTGCCCACCACCAACCAGCACGATGGAGTTTGGGGACAGACCCTGGCAGACAATCACCATTTCAGCACGTTGTGAGATTTACAAAGAGGCTTTTTGTTACCTCTGTAGCCACCTCCTACAGCCATTAAGGCCAGCAGCAATATTTCCATTCCAAATAAAAGAACAATCAAATCCTCCGCGACAGCCACCCATCCCAGAACAACCCACCCGAACCCACAAGGTACCACTTCTCACAGTTCCCACACTGCAACCAGAGGGAGGAACCTGCAAAAAAAAGCTCTTGGGAGAAAGTAATTTTTCACTTCCTCACATCAGAGTCCTTGCATTTAAATTGGCCACCTCAATTCATACCAAAATCCAGAATGGTAATTAAAGATTAATGCCAGAACAAACTCGCTCGATAAACGCAGTTACGGCTGAGCAGACAAAAAGAAAGGTCTTCATATTCTCAGGTGGTGGAGAGATTACTGTGTATCACGGGGAAAAAATCCCTGCACAGAGGACACCCTGAAAAAAACTTACAATTGCTTGAGTCCTGGCCAACGTGCCCTTCAAACCTTCCTGATAAGAAAAATAAGGCTCCTCGTCAGAGTATTTTATCTGAGTGAGAGAGGTGCTCACTGGAGTCTAGTGGAATAATCACATTTTCAGCTCTAATGCTGCCCTTGGAGTAAGAAGAAAGCTAACGAGCAGAAAGTGAGGTAAAATAAAGTATGGAAGAAAAGGCTGAACAGTTTCCAGTGGGGCTGGGGGAGAAGCCAACTTGGCAAAGCAGAAACCCCACCATGGGCTCTTCCTGCTGCCCAAACCCAGAGCGTGCTGCCACCACAGACACAACAGGACCTCCAGACCATCCATAGCGTGTACCCTGTCCTGGGCTTCTCGGGATCAAGGGAAGGGAAATCCTCCTTTGTGTCTCCTTACTCTTGGCTGCCCTGCTTTCAGCCAGCCAGCCCCTCAGGACCCGCTCCAGAAGGAGGTAATTGCTCTTGGGAGCCAGGCTTACACGGACAGAAAGAGTAAACATAGTAAACTTTTTTTTTTTTTTTTTTTTTTTTTGGGACTGGAAGGGGCTCAAAGTTCTCCTCCAGGCTGAACCCTCCTCCCAGCAGAGGGGCTCCAGCCCTCCCAGCATCTCCATGACCTCCTCTGGCCCTGCTCCAACAGGTCTATTTCCTATGAAGCTGGGGACCCCAGAGCTGGACACAGGACTCCAGGTGGGGTCTCCCCAGAGCAGAGCAGAGGGACAGAACCACCTCCCTTGACCTGTTGGCCATGTAACGTTGGCACTCGCCAAAGAAGACCAGGCAGGTGACCTGGGTTTGTTAGGAACAACTGAAAATGGGAGAAGGAATCATACAGCTGTAGAATGGTTTGGGTTGGAAGGGACCTTAAAGTCCCCCCCAGTGCCACCCCCTGCCCTGGGCAGGGACACCTCCCACCAGACCAGGCAGCTCCAAGCCCCATCCAGCCTGGCCTTGAACCCCTCCAGGGATGGGGCAGCCACAGCTTCTCTGGGCAACCTGGGCCAGGCTCTCACCACCCTCACACCAAAGAAGTTCTTCCCCACATCTCAGCTCAATCTCCTCTCTTTCAGTGTCAAACCCTTCCCCATCATGCTATGGCTCCCCTCCCTCATCAGGAGTCCCTCCCCAGCTTTCCTGGAGCCCCTGGAGGGACTGGAAGGGGCTCAAAGGTCTCCTCCAGGCTGAACGCTGGAGGAGTTCAGCCTCCAGTTCAGCTCTCCTCCAGGCTGAACCCCCCAACTCTCTCAGCCCGTCCTCCCAGCAGAGGGGCTCCAGCCCTCCCAGCATCTCCGTGACCTCCTCTGGCCCCTCTCCAAAAGGTCTATTTCCTATGAAGCTGGGGACCCCATAGCTGGACACAGGACTCCAGGTGGGGTCTCCCCAGAGCAGAGCAGAGGGACAGAACCACCTCCCTTGACCTGTTGGCCATGTAACGTTGGCACTCGCCAAAGAAGACCAAGCAGGTGACCTGGGTTTGTTAGGAACAACTGAAAATGGGAGAAGGAATCATACAGCTGTAGAATGGTTAGAATTGGAAGGGACCTTAAAGATCATCGAGTTCCAACCCCCTGCCCTGGGTAGGGACATCTCCCACTAGAACAGGTTGCTCAAAGCCCCCTCCAGCCTGGCCTTGAAGATGAAGAGGAAAAAGAGGAGGAGGAGCCACTAGGGCCATGGAAATCTTTCAGCATTCTTGGCCATTATCCTGCCATGGGGAAGGGCAAACTGTATCGTGGATTATGAAAAACACAACCTTCCTTCAACCAACCAGCTGAATAAAATAAAAGTGTTTTCTGGTACTACCAACAGCTACATGCTCAAGCAGCCTTGCAAAAAGAACAAAGGAAAATCATCCAGTTCAGGCACAAAGCTATTCCCGTTTTTTTTTTCCTTAAGGATGCCCATGGACAGAAAACATCACCTAATGCTCTTTTAACCTGAAACCAGAGAAAAATCTCTCATCTGCAGTGAGTTAGAGAGCAGAGTTCTGCAAGACTAAAGAACTGCAAATTCTATGCCTTATTCTATTAAAGTTTTATTTAATGAAGACTATTAAATGTCACAGAACAGATGGTTTAGGAGCTGGCTATTATAAAGAAACTTTCAGTTCAGGATACATGGTTTGAACTCTACCAAGGAAACAGAAAGCAACCGTATTTAACCATTCTTGGAGCATTTCTGGTGACTCTGAGACTCACACTTCAGTACTAGAATGAGATCTAGATTCTTTGTATAGAATTTTCAACAAAGTTATAATTAGTATCAGCACATTTAATTCTGCCCAGTAAATCTGTTATGGACCCTAATCCTTAAAAGAGCCCTTTCTGACAGTGCAGTGGCTCCCAGTAATTCGTATAAGCATACAGAAAGAATACTAAATGTCAAAGAGATGAAAGCACAATCCCTGAGAATTAGTGAGTGCAGGACTCTGAAGGAAAGCCTAGATAGTAGATGAGAAAAGAATTGGCCCACTCTTGGTTTCAGCTCCTTTGCTGTTGCTATAATGCTAAAATAAACTGAAAATTTCAGATTAAAAAAAAATCAATTAAGAAAAAAAACAAAAAACAAAAAACAAAAATCACAAATACATGTATATTTTTAAAATGACCAGTGCTTATAAACTGTCCAAATCAAAACTCCCCAAACCCATTTACATGTATAAAGCCTGGTGTCTCCATATTAAGCAAATCTTCCCTCCCATGGTGATTCACAAAGCAAACAAAGCCTCCTGTACCTGTTGAAAACCGGACTGTCCTATTTATTTTATCAGGCCAGAAATACTTCAGACATTGTGTTTTTTTATGATATTTAGTTTCATCAACAGAAACGAACCATCACTAAGGATAAATACTAGATTAATCAATTTTTGAGTTGGTGTTCTTACTAGAACATTCAATTAAACGTTTGTGTGGTTAAATGCTGAAATTGGAAGGGTCCACAAAAAAGCACCGGGATGCCAGTTACTCCAGTTGCAATCCAGGATGTAAGAGCCAAAGCTCTACAGCCCAAGACGTCTGTCCTTCCGTTTGATGCAGGTCCAAGCCCTGTCTTGACAAAATTAAAACCTTTCTGTAATAGCGAATGCTACTTAAGTTTGGGTTTGACTTGAGAATCCATGAGAAATGATCACTTGTATCTGCTTCAAAAGGTCAAACTGCTGAGGCACAGCTTATTTGATGTGTAAATTCACCATACACTGCTCTGAGAAACCAAAATGACATTTTTAAAAGAAAAGGCTAAAAAGAATTTGTAATGTAAGAATTCAGGGTTATGAATCAATTACAACAGCACTTAAGCCATGGCTTAAAGGGGCTGCCAGCATTTTTTCAACCATTAAAAGCTCCGTTCTGTGATGCAAAACCGCAGCAGAAACACGGTGCAACACCTCTGTCTGAGAAGGACCTCAGAAAATCAGAAAGTTCACTTTTCTCCAAAAACCTCATTTCTATCACCACTTGCCTGGGAGTTGGCTATTGCTTTGACCACGTTCAAATCAGATCCCGAGCAAAAGGTGTTTCCTGCACCGCAGACGATAAGGCCTTTGCCATCCTTCCAGTTTTCCAGCTCGGACACCCTCTCCTGGAGTTCCAGCATCATGGTGCCTGTCACAGGAGGGGAAAAGCACAATTTTTAACAGGAAATTATTCTCACCGTCATGTTTTATGTTACATTTCTCACCACCAAAACCAAATCATTGTTCATACGTGTTGGACTTAAAACCACAAGGGAAAGCATCACCTTGAATCCTGCACACAAGCACCCACACAGTTTTTTTCCCCTTAAATAGTAATTTTTCCTCTAAATAATAAATTTCTTCCAAGCTCTCCCAATTCTGGGTCGTCTGACAATTTCAGCAGATCATCCTCTATTCCACCATCCAAGCCATGAAGGAAAATCCAGCAGAACTAGGAAAGGAAAATCTCTCTCTCTCGAGGAGATTTTTGCAGGTTTTACCCGAAATGTTCTCCCAACCTCACAGTAAACTCAGCAGTGACTTTTCTGCAAATGCTGGTGTTTAAATAGGTGTGCATCAAACAAAGGGATTTGTTTGTTTGCATATTTCCCGAGTTTTCTTACAAAAAGGGTGCTTGGGCCAGCACCCAAGCTTTGCCATAGCTGATACAGCACAACCACTGCTTGTAGGGCTTTCCATAATCAAAGCAGCGAGGTACTGAGGAGTCTTTCCCCAGGGTATTGCAAGCCAAATAAATACCTAGTTAACTGAAACATGGAGTTTCCAAAAAGGAACCATAAGAGCCAGAGCTGTCCCCTCCTCCTGGGAGAGGATCCCTTCTGCTACTGACAGCGCTGAGCTCCTGTTTTACCAACAGACACACTCTGTGATGTTTGGTATAACGAGGAGGACACGATCCTAAAGCAAATCCTTGTTCTGCTGGCCCTGGCCCTTCAGTATTTGTTACCAGTAAATCCGTGCTCTTCACAGAACTAAACTGACTTGTAATAATAATCTGTTTGCATCTTAATTATGATCTCAGAATAAATGCCTTGAAGTCAATTCTAGAAAATAAAATTATCACCATTATTATCTAATTCCTGCAGGCTGGCCTCCTCCTCCTTTAAATTAAGCTCAACCTTAGTTCAGTGAGAGGGTGGGCTGCTGGAATTGGTTCCACCAGGCTTAAACTGACATTATTAGCATTAGTTTCCAAAGAGACCATTTCAAACAGGTGGCTATCAGATTCCAATTAAGCAGAGAAAAAAGGCATAACAACCTCCACATTGCCCAGTAGCAATTTGCTAACAATTTTGTTCTGCTTTTCATTCCGTGAGTTGCTCAAGCTTAGAATAAACATAATTCCTTTGAGATAAAAAGCCGCTGTGCAAAGTAAATGCCTGGCAAATAGGATTCCTCTCAGCAGTTTAATGATGTTTTGCAGCCTTCTGAAGGAAGCTGACACGTACACACAAACTCCCCTCTGCCAGCACCCAGAAGCTCCGAGGCAGAGTCAAGAGCACTGATTTGAGGGGGGGTATTTACAGGCTCTGGCTGATGAAGTCACCCAGGTCTTGCCAGGGTGATTTAGGGGGCGTGCATCCCAGCCCTTTTCATGCTTCTGCTGTACTTCATGCACATGGACAGGAAAAGGAGGGAGTGCTTGCTAGTTCCTCAGCAGCAGCAGCTCACAGGCAGGAAGGGTAAGAGCAGGATAACTGAATATGCAGAGCCACCCTGCCAGCAGGAGTTGCCGCCGTGCCTCCCCGCTGTAACACCCCAAGTCCCTGGCAGGCAGCAGTGTGTGGCAGGAAGGAGCAGCAATCTCTTGAACTGCCAGAGTAAGGCTTCCCAGAGCAAATTGCTGTGGCTACTGCCCAGCAAAGGGAGCTGCAGGGCTCTAGACACCACTCTCAAACAGACCCGCCTGCTCCCTGGCTCATTTGCTACGTGCTCATCAGGGCCTGTAACAAAGAACTATTAATTTCCACATGGGGTTTTGTAGCCCCCCCTTTTGCTAGGAGAGCATCTAATTCCCATACACTAATAATTTCTTTTCCCAGCAGCCCTATAAGGAGAGAAGATACTATCTCACAGAGCACTAACTGAGCCAGAGAGAAAATAAGCTGCTAATTTTGGGTGCTGAACTCGCAATGTGTGGTATGATTTCAGCACATTAACACTATGTAGCACCACGTATAGTCGACGCACAGCTCCCGGTGGCCTAAGGAGCAGCCACAACTGCTCAGCACTTCAGCAGGTCCCTTCTGAGTCCCTTCTGCCCAGCACCCAGAGAACACAGTTGTGAGTTTCTATGAAAGTCTAATTTAAGCAATTTGACTTGAATTTCCTCTGATCTCCGTGGCAGATGGGGCTTTATCTTGTCCTTTCTGCTTTTGCAGTTCCATCTCCTTTCTCCTGCCCCTTTCAACTCCCACAACAAAGACGCTAAGAACGCAGGGCCTATGAGCTGGACATTGCTCAGCTCTGTTCTGAGTCAAAAACAAAAATCCGTGTGTAGAAGGGGAGGAAACAAGGATGTAATTGTGATTGTGGAACAGCCTGTACGCTGACAGGGAGGCATTCCCAAGGACAATCTCCACGCTGATGTCTCTTGGCTACAACAGCTCAAGGTAGGTAATAAATACAGGAGCTTCTAAAGAGAGAAACAGCAGAGACATCTGGGTGTGTTACCACCAACTCCCCTCTTCTGCTGGGCTCTCTCCCCCCCAGCTAACGAGCATTAGTGGCAGGGGCAGACTGACATTCCCCGGGTAAACAGCTCTGCGCTTCGCTAGTGGGTTGCAAACACATTTGCTGACAGCAAAGGAACAGCGAGAACTGGGCAGGAAAATAGAACAGCAAAAAAAAAATAAAAAAGAAATGAACAAGATGATACAAATGTCTCCATTTCAAAATATTAAGAGATAAAAGCATTCTTAGAGTAAAGGCTTCTGCACAGCTCAGGCTCAGAAAGACGCAGACCCTGAACCTGAGCTACTTATGTCTGAAGAGAATGGCATAAATTGGAATATTCTAGACAGTTAAGGAGAGACAGCAAATACACCTATCTTAGAGATCAAAAGCCTCTCATAATACAAGATTAATAAAATAGGGCACTTGGTTTTGATAGTTCAGTATTGTCCAGTGTAAAAGCATATTAAATAGATCCCTCATCTGCAGAGCTGAGAACACCCGGCTCATCTGATCTCTAATTAACCAGTCCCTGGTATTTAAGACATAAGGCAAATAAAGGAGAAATGGAAGCCAGTCTGAGCGACTGGGAAAGACCAAATAACAGAAACTTAAATTACAGGTAAGGCTTTAGGCAAAGAACAAAGAAATAAAAATCACCCTTTCTATACCACCTACAACACAAAATGGGCATCATCCCACCCCCATAAAAACCCCCTCTGTGTTTCCAGAGCAGGAGAGACAAAGCACAAGGAGACATGAGAAAGAGCTCAGCAGCAGGACTGTGCCCACTGAAAAAGGAGAGGCACGTTCTGCCTGACAGTCCCTGGGTCATGGAGAATCTCCTATATCCTTATGTTTACAGCAAGACTCCTATGCACAACAGTGGGCATTTGCTGTACAGCTGAATAAAACTTAAGCATTTCTTCTTTTAACTGGGGAAGGGTAAGGCACAGATTTCCATTCTGTTCAGGAAAAATGCTAAAATGGGTAACTGAAGGAGAAACAAACCCACAAACCAGCAACCCCATCAACTAATTAATACCTGTAAAGGCATTCATTAGCTTCGGGTTGTTCAAAGTAAGTATCCCAATGCCATCATCTTCTTTGGAGAGGGTGATGGATCCACCAGCAAACTGCTGAAGTTTCTTCTTGATCGCTTCCTCCTCGTACCCATGGGCACTATTATAGAGTGACACCCCCCTCTGCTGCAGTATCCTCTCCTTCGTAGTCTGAAGTACGTTCTTCCACAGAGAAATGGCCATTTCTGGAAATAAATGGAGGGGAAAAAAAAATATCAGGAAATTTCCTTTGAGATCCCCCTCAGTTCCCCAGGAGTGGGAAGCAGCACAGCAGAAACTCATATCAAGGTAAGGCAATCACCAAAGTCTGCAGAAACCACTGCAGACTCTACTTGCAAAACTCTTAGTCTGAACCTACTCCCACAAAGTTAATAGAAAGAGTTTTATGAAGTGATTTTAGTACTTAAGACAGAAATTAGCATCCTTTAAAGTCTTTTCTTCTAAAAATTACCCAGAAGTATTTGGGTGCAGAACATCAAAGAGGCTCCATAACTGTAGTAAGACACTTACATATTCCATTAGACCAACTTGTTCTGAACCAATCTTCCAAATTCTCCCCCTTCCACCAAAAAGAACTACACCCCCCCTCCCACGCCCCTGTGTTGGAGGAGAAATCCTATCAAAGCTCCTGGTTTTCAAGGTCTGCATCTCCTGCTTTTGTGAAAGCAACTCTTACACCCCAGGACCTTTCTGTAAGAAATACCCGAGGAAGACAGAAATTAAGAAAATGTAGAAGCACATCCATGGTTTATGCCTCTGGCATTTCCACTCTACGCTGTACGCATGTACACCAGGGAATAACAAGGGAGTCAACCCCAAATATTATCCTTGATCTGTGGCTCTGCCTGATTTTATTTACTTTGGAAAACGGTCTGTTGAAGAAAGTGGCTAACAAGTGATCTGAAAGAAATCAGGTAAAGCCTGAGACAGCTCATCTGAAAAAACAAGTCACCTTCGAAGTGGCTCAGGGTAGGAATCAAAAGAACCACCATGGGGCACAGAGAAAGATTTGCTAGATTTAAATCTTGCAATTTGCTGGACTAGTCTTAGCTTTGCCCCAATCCCTTTTTTAATAGACACAGCTGTCCAGAAGACACTGGTTTTCTTTCTTCATCATCTTTGGCAGAAACAAGATTCTTCCAAAATTGGCAAGAAGCTCCTGGAATAGTTTTTCTAAGGTGAACCCAGAACAGGAATGTATTTACTGAGCCAGAATTTGGCAACAGCTCTATTTTATGCTGTGCTCAGGGTGTCTTACGGTTTACAGACTCAACGTTTTTCAAAAGTTTATTATATACACACGAACAAGCAAACGCATTAAAAAAACCCCACACAATTAGTTCCTAATGAAAGCAGCAAACAGTCCTGCCAGTGTACACTTATCTGGCCTCACTATCCCATGCTGGAGGGGAAAACGTTCCCCTGGGCACAGCAGAGGACTCTGCCCAGGACCCACACCACGGCCACGTTCCTACTAAATTCAGCTGTAGCGATCAACTTTCACTCAAGCCTAAAGTAATAAAACTAATTCAAATTTAATCCATTGAAAATCTGATTGAATAGAAGACTCATTCCCTCATAAACATGGTCCCATTGCTGCTGCACCCCATCACACCCCATCTAGGCACACTCTCTCTGCAATACTTCAGCCATCACCTTTCAGAGCCTTTACGATGGCTTCTCTTGGTAAAACTTAATATTTAAGAGCGGTAGCAGGTTTCCAAAGCCCATTTCACAGCTAAACCATTCTTTTTATATTCAGACTCTCAGCAGAGAAACAGCCTTCCATTTTCTTTAAAACTTCAGGAGTCTTTCCCCAACATTCATCCGTGCAATAAAACTTTCCACCCGGCTGGAAGTTTTTGCTCAGGAGAGAACAAACATTAAAAACATGGACAGTGCAGGCTCTCGCTGCAAAGCGTAGCTTGAACAATTAGCTCTCCATTTTTAATGAACACAAAGCCTCCGCCATCCCCACAAGGAGACAGACTGGATTTCATTCTCCAGGAAGCCACGAGGAGTGACCTGAAAGCGAAGCCAAGGCCGTTCTGTGAACCCAACTCTCTGCCAAACAGCACTTGTTTGAGGACTTTTACACTCCCTCGATCGCACGTGTCAAAAAACCAACAGAGCAAAACAGACTTAAGATATGGAAATTTTATTCCAGGGAAAAAAAAAAAAAAAAAAAAGAGCCTGTCATTTTCAGCTGCGTAGTTCTGTGCATTAACAGCTCTTTAATATTATCACTATGGTAATAAAGAGCATCAGCAAGAGCAGGATTAAGAAACAAATTGGACATCGCTGCCTGCTGATCATGACTCATGACTAATGACTCATGCAAGGTATTATCATTGAATTATTTTCTTTAAAACCACCTCTTACAGTACCGGTCAGTACCCAGTATTTTTTTAATAAAAACAGGATTATTTTAACAGCTCAGTTGGAGAGAGCTAACCACTCCAGAGAAGCGTGGCATTTAAGCTACAGCTCTCTCAAACTAACGGGATTTCTGCTGATTTCTGACAAAGAACATCCCAAATTTCAACATTTCAATCCGTACGGAGCACTCGCAATCCACGGCACGGCTGAGGTTGGGTGTGCAGGTGCCAGCAGTGTGAGAGAGAGATGTTGCAGGAACCTGTGCTACGTTGTGGGACACGTCCAGAGATACTCAGTACACTAAAATTTTCACATTTTCAGTTTAACAGAATTACATCTATTTAGAGACACTTACAGAAATGAAGTCTTAGTCTCATTTAAAAAGTCAGACATTCTATACCCATTAACATCTGTAGCACACACAGTCTATGCACAAATTTTACAGTGAAAAAAATATCTGACCATACAGGAACACAAACACTGTGGGAAATTAGCATCTTTCAGATGTTTTAAGAAGTGCTACAGCTTTACCTGTATCTGGTGACAACAAAGAGATAAGCCCATAGCATGGATATCAACAGCTGTTCCCTCCGCAGTTATTCTACCTCTTACCTCTTGAACTGATACAGTTTAGTGATGGGTTTGGTCTTTGTTGGGTTGATGGTTGGACTGGATGATCCGAAAGGTCCCTTCCAACACAAACAGTTCCATGTATGATTCTACATAAAACAACAGTTTAAACCTGATTTGGCACTGCAGTAATTTTGTAGCAGCCTTGCCTGCGGGGCCAGGAGGCTGTGGGTTAATGTGAACGCTTCTGTCAGCACTTCAGTATCCAAGGGATGACACACATTATGCCAGAGCAGCGTATGTATGCACACGTAGACACACACAATATACGTATTTTTGTGTATGCTTCTGTAACAGAGGCCTTCTGAAAGCCTCTGGTAACTGCCTGGTTAAAATTCAGCTCTCACAACATCAATAAAAAAAACTAACAGGGATAACGCCAGCACTGATATTCTCTAACTGAGCAGATTCTTTGGGAAATTAATAAACCCCAGCTCTTGAAAAAGCGTATTTGCCCTTGCCATTCACCAGTACTCTGTTGCAAACCCAGTTTTTCTCTTAAAATATACTTCTGGCTGCGATAGCCAGCAAGCACAGGGACGGCTGGGCAGAGGGATGACGAGGGATGCAGGTGACAACTCCCCAGGTGGGCAGAAGAACTAAAGACAAACTGGAGGATGGCCGCTGGGAGCCCAAAGGAGCATTAGAGCTGCATGAACAAGAAACACTGCACTAGGGAGCAGCTACACAGAAATAATCACCAAGTTAAAATACACAAGCAGGGAAAACTCCAGCTCAGAGGTACTGCCTGACACAAGTCTGGGAAAAAGAAAATGGGGAGAAAAGCTGCAAGGCTGTGTTTTCAATACAGCGGGGAAATAAGCAGACCCTTTCAGGAGGGGTAGGGTGTGATGTGCAGACACAGACTCATCAGCCACCTGCGAAAAAACATCAGCTGCATTTCTGGGTTTGGATGAACGTATCCTGAGATGAAGTGTAGCAGAAGTAAAGGGATCCAACACACAAAACCCACAAAAGAAATTTCAGGGAGAAGAAAATATTCAGATGACCTAACAAGAACAGGTAGAAAGGCACTTTTTTGACACTGCCAAAGGCAGGCGATGGGTTAAGAGGCGCAGGAGGATCCAACTTGATGAAGACCTTCAGCAGCTGCAGTGGCAGGGCAAAGACGGGGCATGGAGAAAGGGCTGGGAGATGGGGACTGAAGATGATGATGAGATGACTCACAGCTCAACCCCATGTGTGAGTCTCACCAGCCACCACAGAAGGCATTCTTCTGTGCTAGAGAGCCGCGTGCGTGACCATGGGGTGCTTCATCGAGTCCTTGCAGTGACTAATGAGAGTAGAGCCAGGGGTGACCCGGGGCTGAGGACTGGCACCACTGACCCTACAACGTGAAAGCACATGGAAGAGCAGAGTGGAACTGAAATAGAACCAAAGCACGAAAATAGTCCATCTGCATTAAAAAAAAAAAGTAGGTTGAAAATGAGTAAAAATCATTAACACCCAGTGACTGGAAGCTGGGACAGTGGGCTGGGGGCGATTGTGGGGAGAGAAAAAAAAAGAAAATAAATTCAAGTGTTGGACAGAGAGAAGGAATTCAGAAACAGCAAATCAAAGGGGGCCAGCCTGGACACAAATTGAGACAAAAGGATGGGTCTCATGGCAAAGAGGAGTCACTGCCTTTGGACATAAGAACGGTGTAGGAGGGATGTCTCACCTGCAGGATCACCTGAAGGTTGCAGAGCTCTCCATCTACCTCACCTGCTTATGCAGCTCTCTCCTCTCCCTGGGCGATGCGTGGGTTGGGTTGACTGAAACACCTTACCCGACAGGTTCTTCTGACAATTACAGCTGAGACAAGCTGAGGGCAAGCACTCTCCTGCTGGCAGAAAGCCAGGAGCAGATCTCGCCGAGGGATCGGCAGCAGAAAACCTACTGACAAAAGGTAACCTACAAATACAGAAACTAAAAAAGCATGGGAAATTCTGCCTCCCTGAGGAGGAACCTGTGCCTCCTTTGTGGCTTCTCTACACAAAGCAGAACTACCAAGTTCAACAGGAGCCCCCTCAAGCTCATGCCTTTCCCAAGACACTGGGGCTCTCAAACTTGCTGCCCCCTGTTCAAATTATTAGTATATTGTCTCTGGTACCCACATTGTGGACAAATTAGGTGGGATGAATAGTCCCTCCTTCAGTGTGAAGATACTCAAGGAGCTTTGTGACTCCTCTAAAAACCAGCTTCAGAAGTAGCTGGTATTATAAAGGACAGGTTTTTTAGCCTCTGTATTACTGTTGAGAAGAGAGCAAGAAGTTTGGGCCTCCTAGTTTCTAGACATCAGCATTAGAAACAACGTTCACCCATCCAGAAGCTGAGAGAACAAGAAGTGAGAAGATGTATATAATAACTAACCAAAATGGCTTTAATTCATGCACATGTGAAAAAAAAAAAAAGTGGGAAAGAACCTTTTCTAACATTGTAAGTAAAAAACCCCTTTATCTGTGGTTTCAGTTTTAAGCTGGCCTACCCTTTCCACCTCTTTTCTGCTTCTACCTCCTTTTTTCCCATGTTTTTTCACTTGTTTTTAATTTTTAAGCAGCCTTATTCCAGGGGTAGCAAGCGATGTGTTTTCCAAATTATTGGTTCTTTGTTTAGTTTTGTATTTTTTAATGGTCTCTGTGGGATAAGGTTTAGATGTGAATTGTCTTTCTGTTCCTAACCAATTATATACTCTTTTAATCACATCTTAATTACTTTGAAGACCTAGTAAACAAATCACAAAGAAACATACCCAAGTCCAGCGAAAAATAATGGCATTCAAGGATGCAAAAGAGCTGACAAAAGAAGTCTTTCCATAAATACACATGACACTACCTAAAAATATTTGGGTTTGGTCACACTGTGAGTTCAAGATCGAGTTTCACAGCAGAAGGTGAGAGCAAGGATCTGTTGTCTTCTGCAAAAAGCACACAGGCCCTTTATTTTCTAACGCTTTGATCTACAGAGGTTCTCTTTGCTTCTGTCAGCAGAAGGCCCTCTGCAACAGTGACAGAAAACACTTTTAAGTTCGCATAGAGCTTGCTGCCCGCTAGGTGTACTTTGGACACCTTTAAAACAAACAGACACGCTACTTCCTAGTCGCTTTTTAGTCGCGAAATCCTAAACCACGAAAAGCGTAAGAATGAATTCATCCCAGCTGCAACTGCAAATACTGATGCTTTCCCAAGGATTAATTTGCCTTGAAAACTGTATAAAATTTTGGAGTCAAGCAGTACTCCGAATTCCACTCAGTATACAGGTCTCCTTAACACCACCACCAGTAAATAAATGGTCCTGCTGACAGCAGCAGCAAAACAGCATCCCGATGTCAGAACTGGCCACACAGCAGGATTCTTGGGGATGTATCTCCTGGAATGGTGCTGGGAACCTGTCTCCTTGGCTCTAGGCACCAAATCTCAGGAAGAAATGGCATCCTGCGTGGCATCACCCTGGGGAGAGGGAAGCCTCAAGGGGGAGGGGGAGGGAAGCTCCGTCTTCCTCAGCACAGGTTTCTTGCTGCTGACCTTACAAGGCCAAAACCAAGTGCACTGTAGCACTCACAGAATCGTAGAATGGCCTGGGTGGGAAGGGACCTTCCAGATCATCGAGTCCAATCATCAACCCAACACTGACAAAAACCCACCACTGACCCATGTCCCTCAGCACCACGTCTGCCCGGCTTTTAAATCCCTCCAGGGATGGGGACTCCACCACTGCCCTGGGCAGCTTCTGGCAAGGCTTCATAACCCTTTCAGTGCAGAAATTTTTCCTAATATCCATTCTAAACCTCCCCTGGAGAAACTTGAGGCCATTTTCTCGTCCCATGGCCTGTTCCTTGGGAGAAGAGACCACCCCCCCTGGCTACACCCTCCTCTCAGGGAGTTGGAGAGGGCGAAAGCACTCCTGGCACGGAACCTTTTCTATTTATTTGTATATTTTAGGTCCCTAGCCCCGGAACAGCTCCGTGGCGGGGCCGAAGGGGGCGGTAACCGGCTGTTCCCAACACCAGCCCCGAGGTCTCTGGGCTGAAGCCCAGCAAGGACATAACCTTTTCGGGCAGAAACCCCGCCAGCCGCCCCCGCACCGGCCCCGCCTTTGCCCCAGACACCAGCGGCCCTGAGGGACCGGGGCACCCCCCGTCTCCCGCCGGCCCTGGGCCCGCTCCTGGGCCTGAAGCCCCCCCCCTGCCCTTCCCCTTGGCCCCCGGGACCCCCAGAGGCCCCGAGG